TATTAGAACAGCAAATCCACAGTTGTTACAAGTCCGAAACATTTTCATCCACAGTCCCCAGCTGTACCAGCGGAGTCCCTCTGATAAAGATTTGTTACCAGCCTCGGGTGGGTTTCCAGGTGTCTATAACCTTCCCTTTAGAACGGACAAAATAAACTGGATGCATCATAGCTGTAGCACAAGCCTGTCAACAAAACATACAAGCCTGCTATTAATTTTAAATAAATTAATTTCATTGTATTAAAATGTGTCATGTTAAGTTATCATTAAAAAACAGCAGGGGAAAAAAGGTAAATGCAACTGCCAACATTGGCAGTTGAAATGACAAGCCCTCATCTCTAGGCTATGTTAAATACGGGCTCATTGCATTGAGGATGAACAAAGTTTGTGCTGAATACAGCATTTTTTGTGCAGCGAATTGTTGGATATTTTTTCCAATTCAGCCCAAGTTAATGATGTTTTGTAGTATTGGAAGTATGCACTTTAACATTGTTGTTTACTCTTGTTCAATAAACAGTTTTAGTACCGTGTTGATGTCCAAATTTGTGACCTGAAGGAAAACAGTCAAAGACTTCTGATGTACAAGCAATGGCTTAGTCAGATGGAGAATGTCCTTTCATACAGATGAATACAGTGTGTTTCTGTGAGCTTTGTTTGAGGGAGATGGTTAGTAACTCACATGGTAAGGCATGAGTGTGAGGAGTGACCCCAGTGGGAACTGCTTGATGTCCAGTTTTCCAGAGATGGGCTCCACCCTGCCGTGTTCCTGAGTCATAGACAGGAGTCTGCAAAACAGACGACACCCTTCATGCTATTTATATTATCTGACTCACAAAACCTCCTACTCGCACTGTTGTGATGTAAAATAAACATCTAAACATGTACAGAGAAGGATTATCCAATCTCAGTTTTTAATATTTGAGAATGGATTTGATGCTTAAATATTTATTCTCACATGAATCACATTTTGATTGTCAGTTCAAATCACTTAAATTCTATGCAGACAGATGACTTAATGGAAACATAGGGATGCAATATGAAAATGTAGACCAGTAAGTTGATAGTTATATTTATGTTGCGGCTAATAACTGATAAATGGCTGATATTAAAAAATAAAAAACACTAAAAACTACAATCAGTCATTTTATATACTAAAAATAAACTTAAGCGCACATTTGCTACAAATGTAAGTGTTTTAATTAGGGCTGTCAGATTAATGCATTAACTTAATTAATTAGTTATGAAAAATAACGCGATTAAAATATTTTAACGCAGTTAAAGCACTGGCACCGCCCCCAAACATGTATGCCCCTTACATTTCATATACTTGACTGTTGACAAATATGATGCAGGGCAACAACTCCATTAATGCAGTTATGCCCTAAAATTCAAGATATTGGGGCAAAAAATGCCCCTGTATGAGCTTCTGTCTCATATTTATATCATATGATAAGCGATATCACATCAGCAAAGAGAGCAATATCACAGGAGAACACGAGTGCATGTGATTTTATACAACAGTTCAGTAAATAAGAAGTTAATATTGTGCTATATTTTAAACACAATAGTGTGTTCTTGTTCAACTTTGCCAACGAAAATATTACCTAAAAGCCACAGCAGAACTGGGGTGTATTCCAGAAAGCACGGGTAACTTACCGTCAGCTAAACCCTGAACTTTCGGTTGATTAACCCCAAACCTTGCTTACTCGAGGTATGTGGTTCCAAAAACGCGTCCGGGAGTAAGTTCATTCAACTCCGAGTATGTTCCTGGTTAAGACTCAAGACATTCTCAACAGAGCGACGAATCGACGAGTCACTATGGAAACGGACGCTAAGAAAAAGCGCCATGCTGTTTCTTTCTTCTTCTTTTGTTCAATGCTCGTTTACATGCTTCGTGCATATCGCCACCTAATTGATGGTCGTGCAATCATTTTTCTTTTTTTCAGTTTACTCTTTAATCCTTGAGAATAAGAATTATATTGTTTGCTTGGTGCTAATTATATATTAAGTCATATCAGATATGTATTTTGATTTAGAATTTAGACATTATAGAAAATGCTGATCCATGTGTGAGATGATAATATAAAATGTAATAAATAAATATATATAATATAATAAATTAAACATTACCTTGTCATCCTGAAAGTAACCTCCGATTTTGGAACCGAAAGCTGAGGTTATTCGCTTGCTTATCCTCAAACATACTCGGGTATGTCACATAATCTGCTTTTTGGAATGTGCGTCTCCGAGCAAAACAGCGGTGTTTAGTTTCTGAATGAATCTGCGTTTTGCAACGAATCATGTGAATCAATGATTCAAAGAGAGATACGTTTACTGAATTCCTGAATGAATCAGCCATTTGAACGAATCGACTCTTATAGACATTTACTGCCACCTGCTGGAGTATCATTTCATTTATTAAAATAAATAAATAAATAAATATTAAAGGGATAGTTCACCAAAAATAAATAAATAAATAAATTCTGTGATCATTTACTCACCCTCATATTGTTTCAAACCTGAATGAATTACTTTCTTTTGCACAACATAAAAGAAGGTATTTTGAATACTGGTGGTAACTAAGCCGTTTTGGTCACTAGTGACTTTCATTGCATGAACAAAAAATGTTTCTCAAATTATCTTCTTTTATGTTCCATACTTTGTTAGGCCATTGTAGCCTAAACATTTAACATGATAATAACTTTAAATTATCTTTTGGGGGTATTTTCACAGCCAAATTAGTTTGTGATTAATTAGATTAATTAATCGCAGCACCCTGTAATTAATTAGATTAAAAATTTTAATCGACTGACAGCCCTAGTTTTAATGTTTTTGAAGTATTTTATGCTCACCAAGACTGCATTTATTTCATCAATAACAGATCAATTTCAGATCAACAATAAAAACAATAATAGGGTGAAATATCATTACAATTTAAAATAACTGTTTTCTATTGTTATGTACGTTTATTAAAATGTAATTTATTTCTGTAATGCAAAGCTGAATTTTTAGCATCATTACTCTAGTCTTCAGTGTCACATGATCCTTCAGAAATCATTCTAATATGCTGATTTGGTGCTCAAGAAACATTTCATACTATTATCAGAGTTCATCTTGATTTTCAGCTTAATGCACATTTTTGTGTATAATGTGATACATTTTTTCAGGATAAATAAAAGGTTCAAAAGAACAGCATTTATTTGAAATATATATCTTTTTAATTGTATTTCTTTGTTGTTACTTTTGAACAACTTAATGCATTTTTGCTGAAAAAACGTATTAATTGAAATAAAAATAATAATAGTCTTACTGACCCCAAACCTTTGAACAATGTAAATGTAACAGTATAAATGTAAAAATAAGAGAAATTAATAATAATAAATTTCCCCATTTTCAATCAATCAATGAATCAATCTGCCAGTAACTGAAAAAAAAAACCCTGGAGAAAAACACCTTCATATCCATCCACATGATCTCTTACTTGAGTTCTGGGTGTCCTTCGATGATGGCATATCCTGTAGGTAAGCGCCCCCCACCATCATGACTCAGTGCTGTCCACCCACAATCTACAAGTAACTGGTTCCTGTGTGGGTAGTGGCCTATGACCCGCGTCAGCACCCGTACTGCAACATCCTCAAGTCTACAGGACCCGATGAGGGACTGCTGCACATCTGGACATGCAACGGATAATATTATGATTCAAAACAAGCTGATAACATCACTGCTTACAACAGGAGAACATGGCAACACAGACCATAAAATATGTAGTTCCCAGGATGCACCTCACTCAACATGGCCATGTCTGGGACTGGGTGGCTACAGGAAGGGGTGGAGCCAATGCTGGATTTGACACCTTGTATTCCAGCAGCCTTCAACCTATGGATAGCATGAATAATATCATCACAGCATATTAAGTAGGGATGCATTGACATTAAAATTTTGAAAATTCAAATTTTCAAATGATAATGATAATGACTAAAGCTTTAACTAAAGCAAATGATAATGTTCATATTATGTGCCTACTACATTAAAGTTATATGGTATATTGTCAAAATAAATTAAAAATACAACACTAAAAAATAAAATCAATTATTGTAAATGCTACAAGTGAATTTAGACACCATATTATAATATGCAATATAAAAAATAATGTACATTTAGTGTTTAAATTAGTGTTTAAAATGATATGCTTTGTTAACTATATTAAAAATAAAATACTAAAAAGTGATTCAGTTATTTTAAATGCAATTTAGACAACACAATATGATGTACAATATTAAAAAACTTCATTTATTAGTGTTGTTGAACTATCAGCTTTTAAAATGTTTTGTTGACTAAATGAAAATAACACTAAAATCAATTATTTTAAATGTGAATATAGTCATCACAATAAAAGTGTACACAATATTATAATGTACAATCTAAAAATAAACTTTTAATTTATTTTGTACTAAAGATTACATTTATTAGTGTTGTTAAATTATTCATATTTAAAAACTAAATTGTCTAAGTTGTCTAATTAAAATTAAAATCTCTTAATTTGAAGGCTATAAGTGAATAGTCGATGGCACAAAATTATAATGTACAATATAAAATACAAAACACATTAATTTTTTTGCTAAAGGTTGCATTTATTAGTGTTGTAAATGATCTGTGTTGTCTACAGAAATTAAAAATAAAATACTCAAAAAAAAACGATTGTTTTAAATGTCTGTAAATTTAGATATCACAATATTATAATGTATAGTACTATTTATTTATTTGTTATTTGCAAGAGATTACATTTGTTAGTGTTGTCAAATACTTAAAGTTTTTAAAGATTAACTTCGAGTGTTAGATGATATCAGCATACTTCTCCATGAACTGTAGCACAATGGTAGTGGTTTCCTGAGCAACAGCTTTGATTTGCTCCTCCCCCTGACAGGCGTAGGTGTTCCCGCAGTGGGCGTAAATTCCCGTCAGCTCCACCCCTGAAGTATCCCAGATCTCCAGGGCAAGCTGTAGTGCAGCTGGGTCACAATGAGGAATGCCCGCTTTCAAAACAAAAAAACTAAACAATTTATCCAACTGCAGTACACCTAAAACCATGCTTCAAACATTTGGACGTACATTTGCTGAACTCCATCTTCAAGTGTTACCTCTCCCATTGTCACAATCCAGTTTCATCCACACCTTCCAGACTTTTCCCTGTTTCAGAGGTCTCTTCTTCAGTTGCTGCAGGGCGAGGCGGTTGTCCACCACGATGTGGAATAGAGAAAGTCTCTCGGACAGCTCGGCACAGCGCTCCACTTTATCAAATGGCAGAGGGTATGCATAAAGTATATCGTCATAGCCGTTATCAGCATAGAATGATGCCTCAGCTAGAGTAGACACAACAATACAACGACGAGAGCCTCCTGTCATGATGTCCGCACATTCCCTGAAGACAGATAACATTAATGAGGAAAGAAACAATGGTAATAACATGACACGATTTTTACTTTGAGGTTAATATTCCTTTGCCCAAATCCTTTGTTTTCTTTTTACAGTACATAAATGGCACTTGGTTTGATATTTTGTTATATAATAAAAAATTCAAAAGTGCCTTAAATGTCCAAATATTTATTTACAAAATTACTAGTGAAAAAGTTAATGATGTAAGAATCATTCTTATAATCATTACAGTTAATGATGACAGAAATTTTATTTTGTGGTGAAATGTTCCTTTGAATAAATACTTTTACATTTTGCATCTATTATTTGATCATTTAAAACTTCTTGTTATGAAATGTCTTGCTTAAAAGTGTGTGTGTGTGTGTGTGTGTGTGTGTGTGTGATGTGTGTTTAATAAAAGCCACTTGGTTTGATATTTTGTTATATAAAATATATAAAAAAAATTTGACAGAACTTGACAGAAACTATTATAATTACTAGTAAAAAAAAAGATTAAAAAAAGACAAACCTGAAGGAAAAAAAAAATCAAAATACTTTTCAGTTTTCATTCTTAACAGTACTGTAAATTACGTGTTATTTAAAAGTTTAATCTTGTCAAATGTTTTGCTTTAGAAGTGTGTGTGTGGGTATTTTCCCCCAAACAAATGCCACTAGGTTTGTTATATAATAAAACTGTAAAAAATAAAATAAAAAAAGTGTCCAAAATTTGGTAGACAGCCAGTCAAAATGACTAGTGAAGAAGACTAACGTGATAAGGGTATTAATAAAAGTATCTTGCAAACAAAATTTCCAAGAGGTTGGTGCTGTTGAGATGAGAGTCTCACAGTGTTTTGTGTGTTTTCATGTGAGGTCGGAGCTGGACCCCTAGTTTGTGGAAGCGCTCCAGCATGCCTTCAGCGTTTCTTCTCGCTTTATCCAGGTCAATGATCAGCGCTGGAGTACAAAGGTCTTTGATATAATTCAACAGCAGCCATTATCGAAAAACTAAAAGAAATAAAATATAATAACAACACGTTTAAGCGAAATGGAAACCTGCAGAGCTGTAAAAAGTTGCAGACTGTGTAGATAATAGATGCAAGTTAACTTTAAAATTTAATTCCAGTAGTAAATACATTTAAGAAATAATCCAGTAAACATGAGCTTGATTTATGGTCAAAGTAACTCGTGTCAAATAGTTATGATAAACTGAGGATAAACTAATAATAGCAGCTTTTCTTTCACTCACCATAAAGGCAGCGGATCAAATACTGCTCAATGAGAGCGAGCGTGTGAAGCCAGAATCAGCACAGCGACACAAGACGAGACAAACTGCGGCTTTTCAAACTTAAAGCTCCTGACGAGATTTACGGAAAATATATAGGAGTGTTTCTTCCACCACGGGAAGCAAAAAGGTTGATTTTTTTTAAGATAACCGATTTCGACGTTTGTTTCTCATAGACATTTTTAGTATTCTTCATTTATTTTTTACAAATGGTCTTAATAGGTCTAGTTTTTTTTTTTACAGTTGTCCAAGACCCACGCTTATATTTTACACTGATCATCTATCACAAAAACTAATCATTTTATCATTAATATTGTGTAGGTGTACGAGCAAGAAATATTTTGTAGGTTTACTTTAACTTCTGTATTTATAATTCTTTGTATTATCTGGGTTGCACAAGTTATTCCCTTGAAATATATATGTAATGTGATTTCAGGCAAACTTTGTCATTATTTGTTATTATATTATATTAGCCTATCACTGATACTTAACAGAAAAGGGGGATCAAATGATAGTGTGGATTAGATTTTTTTTTTTTGCATAATTGATTTGTAGCCTAGGCCTATATGGAAGAGACCAATTGTTCAATAAACAAAAGAAGTATTCAGTCTTGTCTTTATCGTGAATCTCAAATGCACTGAAGCAATGGAAACTAGAATCTGCTCACATCTTTTACACATGTTTTTGTCACGTTCAAGTTCAATGGCAGTGAGGCTCAGAAAGATGTAAATACCATGAGCATGAGAATGCTAAAGACTGCACGTTAAATACACAGCACTCTTTGTCTTAATGCTATACAGCAATGCTGGAGTGGATGTGTGAACATTTCAAATCGTCAACAAAACATTCATCCCAGGATGATGCAGGTTACAGATATTTCAAACTATCTCCAGCACATCTGTAGCACTGGTTTGGCTGAATAACATCAGAATGTCTAATCTAATGTCCCCGATGAACTTTTTGTTACTCATTAAAGTGGATTATTTCAAAGTCAGTTAATCAAGTGGCTAATTAAGGCTTGTAGTCATTAACGCTAATCCCTTCTCTCCCACTTGGATAAAATCCTCAATTACCAAAGCCGTGTGAGAGTATCAGAAAGATCTTAAGGCCTGTTTTCACTTTTTAGCTTGATGTCTTTCAAGAGAGCTACAGGCTGTATATCTATACATCCAGGCTTTTCAGACAATTCTGGTTGTTGTGGTAATACTACAGTGATATGATTTTAAATTCCAGTCACATCTTAAACAATACAGTTTAAGTGTTTCTTATGGCTGCATTTATTTGATCAAAAATACCGTAAATAATAACATTGTGAAAAATTATTAATTTTCAAATAAGTTTCTTTATATTTTAAAATGTAATTTTCTTCAGTAATGATAGTCTTGTGGGCAGCACTCGCTGACATATAGTGCTACAGGAGTCCCAAGTTCGAATCCCGGCTCAAGGACCTTTTCCAATACGCTTTCTGTCAGCTCTACACTGATCTGAAACAGAAGGCAAAAATTCCAAAAAAAAAAAAAAAAGCCTTTAAAAAAAAAAGTAATTTATTTCTGTGATGGCAAAGCTGAAAGTCTAGTCTTCAGTGTCACACGATCCTTCAGAAATAATTTTTGTATGCTGATTTTGTGTTCAAGAAACATTTATTTTTAGCAATGTTGAAAACATTGTGCTGCTTAATATAGTTTGTGGAAATTGTGATTTGTATGACTTTTCCAATCATAAAATCTAATTTTTAAAAAGTATGCACACCATGTGTTAGTGACCCAGTGCTGTTCTGCAAAATCAATGTCTTAAAATTCACTTTAAGTGATACGTTGACAATTGTGCATTATTTGAAACCATTGTTTGTAAAGAAATGTCTTCATTCTCCATCTAGTAGAATTCTTCATATCTGCAGATGATATATCTTCTGATAAACTCTTGCAAGATTTGCATTTGCAGCTACAAATCGCTAGGTGGAGCTGCAGGACTCACACAGTAACAGTGTGTGATCATCACATGACTTTTAGTGACAGCAAGGGTAATACCGTTAGGAGGCATAAGATGGTGCCAATAACACATGCACACACTGCCAAAAAAGCTGTATTTAGGAAAACTGCTTTTTTATTTAAAACTCAGAGCTGCTAGACAGACATGAGGTGTCAAGTTTGGCTTAAGACGGAGACATGTAACGTCTGCAACAACAGACATATCGCTGATAACTGGCAAGGACAATCCAGCAAAGCACCCAGTTACTATGTAACAGGTGCAAGCCATGATAAAGAAGCACGTTCCGTGTAGCTCCAATTAGGAGAGCCTGGAAAACGGTATTACGAGCCATACAAAAACACAAATCCAATAATTACAGTGGCTTACAAGCAGAATAACACATACAGGACTTCGCACAGAGCTTATAACCTTCTAAACGGTTTTTCGGTGAATGCACATTGCCAAACAAAACTACCTTTCTTAACACGTGCAAAGCTGGCGGAAGGGAAATAGCTCAAAATAAACTTAGTATTGAACACAAGTTCTCACACACACACTCTCTAATGTTTAGCATTATGTCCGTCCTATGCTCATGCTCAAGCCAGCATTCTTCATAAAGAAAACACAAAGCATGTTAATGCACGTCTGTCTTCACAGCTCTATCACATTCAGAGTCACTATGAGAAGCCCCTTATAGATGACAGATGGAGAGGTGAGTGAGAGAAGAAGTCACTTCCTCTCTGCTCATCATCTCTCAGCAGCAGGCAGTAGCACTCTGGAGGTCCAACTCCCGCACTCCACTTCATTCATCCCTCCTTCAGTAGCTGGGCTCCGACGGCTTGTTTAGCTCCACTTTTACACCTCTTTCACCTGCACCTAAAAGACAGAGAAAGACACAAATTTTGATATAAACCTGCCGTTTGCTCTCTCTGATAATCCATACCTGTTATTAGAAAGTAATTCACTCACTGTGGCTCAGTAATTATTTCAATGATGCTTCATCCGGAAATAAAAATACTGTCATCATTTGCTCACCCTCATGTCATACACACAGTTCATACAACGAAAGAGAGCAGTTACTGGTTACTACACTACTGTTTAAACAACTGGAGTCTAACAAAATGAATATGTTTATTCAGCAAGGACACATTAAATTTATCAAAAGGAACAGTAAAGACATTTAAATGTTATATATTACTATTTTAAATAAATACTGTTCTTTTAAACTTTCTATTCATCAAAGATTCTTGAAAAAAGCATCAGTTCCCATAAAATATTAAGCAGCAGAATAAGATTTCTGAAGACTGTAGTAATGGCTGCGAAAAATTCAGCTTGCCAATCAGAGAAATAAATTACAATTTAAAATATATCAAAACAGGAAAACAGTTATTTTAAATTATAATAATGTTTTACAATATTATGGTTTTTTACTGTTTGATCATCGTATGGGCTTCTTGTTGTGTATGTTTATAAAAACACTTTAAAATTACATCACTCTGTCTTTATACATATCCATTCAAAAGTTTGGTGTCAGTAAAATTTTTATTATTGAAAGAAATTCATACTTTTATTCAGTGAGGATGCATTAAATTGATCAAAAGTGACAGTACATTTTACAAATATGTTCTATTACATATAAATGTTGTCTTGAACCTTCTATTAATCAGAGAATCCTACAAAATCTATGTTTCTTTTATAGAGCAAATCTTGTTTCAGGAGCTTGACAGCCCCAGTGACCAATTACTTCTACCAAACAGAAAAGAGCAGCATAAACAACCTGCTAAACGTCTCATGTTGTGTTCCACCAAAAAAGAAAGTCAGACAGTTTTGGAACAGCATGAGGGTGAGTAAATAATGACAAAAAGTTAATTTTGGCCTGCACAACTGTCGATTAGGAAGGAACGTCTTGTTAAAAATCAGTGGAAGCGCCTGGTCATGTTTGAGCAGATCTCACCTGTTAGATATTTCTCTTTAGCACGAGCTCGCTCATCAGCGTCAAAATACCACACCGTCATAGCATACCTGCACATAAATACACACATAATTGTATAGAAGCACAAGCAGCTTACAGGACCATTAAAAAAAAATGAAACGTCACTATCACTGACCTCGTGGCATAAGCTGACTGGACCTCATGTGGGTTCCGTCTGTCTGACCAGAAGAGCAAAAGTCTGTCAAACTTGGGCTCAATGTCTGCAAACTGAGCGGTTCCCTCTGGAAAGATCCGCAAAAGGCCACCATGTTCCTACAGAGTGAGCAGATGAGAATCAGGCTATATGGTTTGATGAGTACCTTCATATTTCGACATTTTAAACTTTTTAGGGTTGTATGTGGTTAAAATCATTAGAATTGGTTCAGACAACCGATACCTAATTTATTCAACTCAGTGTGAAGACAGCAGGTAAATATAAATATATATATATATATATATATGTGTGTGTGTGTGTGTGTAAAAAATTAAACAGAAAATGAAATTCAATATTATTTATATAGAAGTATTTAGCACAAAAGTGAATTGTATTCGACTAAATAGGTGAACTCAACATTCTGGCAATCCACTCCCATAAAAAAACTAATTAATAAATAAAAGTACAACAAAAATACAGCCTTTTTAAAATATGATTTGTTTTTAATTGTCACATTAGAAACTACCATAATGCATACATATTTCTTGAATTCAAAATATTGTACTGAATTGTACTTGAAAAATGATTAAAATCATGTACACTTAAAGACAGTCATGTCAATGAATCAATATGAGTACTTCTATAAAATGAAAAAACCTATACAAATATAATGTACATATAATTACAAAAATATTAATAAAACAATTATAATAATTAAAGGATTATAAAAAATATATTGATATTTACACACACACACACAAATACATAAATACACACAATACATATTTAAATATAAAACATTAATAATAAGAAACACATTATCAGTAAGACTTTTTATTATTGATAGAAATGAACACTTATTCAGCAAGGATGCATTAACTTGATCAAAAGTGATAGTAAAAACAATATAAATAAATGCTGTTAGTTTCCACAAAATATTAAGCAACATTGATAATAATAAGAAATTTTCCTGAGCATGAATTATTATGATTTATGAAGCACCATGTGACACTGAAGACTATAGTAATGACTGCTGAAAACTCATTACATTACAATAGAAAAGTTATTTTAAATTGTAATAATAGATTGTAATAATATGCAGCCAATTTATGCTCACTAGACTGCATATGAGACTTCTTTTAAAAACAGTATAAATGTATATAAGTATAAATTAAAAAAAAACACTCTGTTTCATTCACAAAACAGAATGTTGTGGATGGGAAAACTCTGGGAGGGAGTGTATTTTTTCCTGCCCCAGGACAACCTGATGCTAAATTTAGCTTAAAGAAAAAAAATCTGACACACTGTGACTTTTACATAAGCCAAGACTACAGGGAACAAGCAGGTTTGCGTGAGACGGCTATTTTCCTCTCCATTCAGTGAAGGGGGTGCGATATGAGAGGGAGAGTACTAGAGCGTATACCATGAATTACTGGCATCCTGTTAAGCTCGAGAGAGAGAGATGGAAAATATCAGGGTTGAATGTGTGAGATGTGATCCATCCTTACATCGCAGCTTTGAAACTCACATAAACATATGACTGAAAGAATTCAGACATTTAGAGAGTCTCAAGCAAAGAGTGCGTTCAACCTACCAACAGCATCTAGAGCAGTGGTCTCAAACTCAATTCCTGGAGGGCCACAGCTCCAACCAGCTCCAAAACACACCTGCTTGGACGTTTCTAATAATCCTGAAGACCTTGATTAGCTGGATCAGGTGTGTTTGATTAGGGTTGGAGCTAAACTGTGCAGAGCTGTGGCGCTCCAGGATTTGAGTTTGAGACCAATGATCTAGATAAAGTCTTCAATCCTTCTTTCTCTTCTACCATCCCTATTTCTGCCCAACTCTATTTTCTACTTCATATAAGAACGTCTGATCAACACTCAGAATTGTTTCCATGGCCGGTTGGAATGTTCTGGAGCAGAACCGACTCTCTGACGCAGAGCTGGCAGTTGACAGAGGTGGTAAAGTGGTGGAAAGTGCCATGTCTGCTGTCCCGTTTCCTGTGAGAGCACTCAAACATTTCAATGGATAGTTCACCCAAAAAAGGAAAATTCTGTCATCACTTACTCTGGTCACAACCAGTGACTTCCACAGTATTGTAAACAAAAGAAAAGTTAGTTTTTTGTGTAGTGACATTATTTTGCAGTACAATTATTATTAAATGTATAAACATGACTTACAAAAACATAAATATTAAAATTGTACAAATTACAAATCCAACACCAACCACAATTTCTCTGTTCTAGCAGACCTCTAATAACAACACATAAACAGTCTCTCGTGTGGCCTATTGATATAAAGTAGCAAACTTCCTGCACAAGGTTGGTTTTGAATTTCCATTGTATTGAATGTAAGCTCCGATGCAAGTTTGAGCAGTCTACATCAGATAAGAAACCTAAACAAACTGAGAAGAGCTTAAACAAATCTCAAGCAGCTTTACACGCTACAGAATGTATACAAGTTCACTGGATGGGGGGGGAAAAAAACTCCTACCTTGGCATCCCAGTCTTTATTCAGGTAATATATGCACGTGACACATCTCCCATCACCGTTTGGGTTATCCACATGCCGTACATATCCTGTGCCATTGCCAGGGTAACATGCCACCATTGCCTGGAATGGAAAAAAGGGGTTGTAATGGGCGAAATAACCAAAACAAAAAAACATACAAAGACTTCACAGTGGTATGGATGCAGCTTTCCATTCATAAGATATTTCATATTCACAATAATATTAATATTTTTTCTTTTTTTCATGCACATAATAATTCATTATAAATATTAATAATAGCAATAATAAAGACAAATCTTCATGCTCAAAAAGGTTGTTTTCATTTACAATGAGAATAATGAAAAATACTAAACTAAAAACTAAACCATCCAGATGCACTAGAGAATAAAGGCAAAAAAAATAATATATTAATATATATTTATATATAAAATATTATCTTAGAATGAAATAATGGGATTCACTGTTACTCCGTATTTGTGAAACGCAGTTCATCAATGAATTCCACTCAGATACTGTATGATACCACAGCGTACAACTACATAAACCTACATGAAGTGGACAAAAAAAGGTGACATCTGTGACATTCTCAGCCCTGTGATGATTTTATATATAAAATATTATCTTAGAATGAAATAATGGGATTCACTGTTACTCCGTATTTGTGAAACGCAGTTCATCAATGAATTCCACTCAGATACTGTATGATACCACAGCGTACAACTACATAAACCTACATGAAGTGGACAAAAAAAGGTGACATCTGTGACATTCTCAGCCCTGTGATGATTATATATTTTAATCTTGTTGAATCTGGGTTATGAGGCTGAGGGAACAATGAAGCCATTGCTGAAGTCTTTCCTTTGCTGAGGTTTTTCCTTTCCTGCTCTTCCTCTGCCCCTTTTATTTTGGTCTCCGGGTTTACATGGAAAGTGTTAATGAATCACAAAGGAAAAAATAGCAGTGTAAATGTATTTGTGCACATGGACACATCCGTTATCAGGACAGTGTTACAAAGGAGAGAATGAGTCAAAGGGTCATAAAAAAATATATGATAGTCCATCAATCCACGGCATGTGACCTGCATGTGACAAGGTTAAACTACATTTCTGAAGCAAACAAAATGTACTTCCTTATAATTAGAAGTTTTAAAATAACTTACAGTAAATGGTTGGAGAATATTCCTCTCCAAGTATGAAAACATGTCAAACTTTAAACAAGATTGTGAACTGATGCCAACATTCACCTTTAAATCATTAACAAAACATTTCAAACAAGCATCAGCACCCAACAAACACTTAATTATCAGAAACCTTTGGGCCGATACTGTGCGCCGTGTTTCTGTGAACTGAAAAGAGAAAAAAAAAAAGCAAAGTCAGAACGACTCTCTGATATCGATCCTCTCCGGAAACTCCCCTTTTGCCTTCTTTTTCACCCACTTCTGCACGTAGGCTCCTGAATCTGATCAGTTCACTGACAGTTCATGACCTGACACTCTATTTATAAGCAGCACTAGCCCAGCAGGGAATTTTTAGGCCTTAACTTAACCCTCTAACCCTAACCCTACAGCATAATGTCACAGGGACCGAGACCTCTTCCCGAGGGACACGATTCTCAGTGTATATGTGTGTTAGGCTGTCTGGGGAAGGGAGGGAGGCTGTTTTTATGGCTGAAAAACAAACATATTTTCCAACATTCTTTGCAATACTTGTATACATACTAGAGATGAAATTGTTCCCATGACAAAAAAAAAAGGTTTACAATGTGTTTAAAAATATAAATATTTTTATTTATTTAGTTTTATTCATTTAAGGCTAATTTTATTACAATAAAGATTTATTCATTTAAAAATAAGAACAGAATAAGAACAATTAATAAATACGTACAAGGATATATAATATAAAATATGGAAATATTAAATAAAATGTGTAATAATTATAAAGTGCTTTTTTAAAAACAAAAACCCGTGACATGTGCTGGCAAAATGAGTCACAATGAACAAATGTAAGAAATTATTAAAATTATTTAAGAATTATTTAAAATTTCACATTCTCCATTAAAAAGACCTTCAAAATGATGATGTATGATTTGTTGAAATCGGACAAAAAATAACTGAGCTACACCCATTTGAAGTAGACAGAGTCAGCAACCTCAATTCTGAGAAAAATCAAGTTAAAGTTTTCTGAAGGTTCCAAAGCAAAATCACCTAGCAACATTGCATCTTTTCCTCCAGTTATTTTCTTAATGATCATTACTATATTAATAACCGTAAATTACAATATTAATAATCATAATATAGCTATTTTTATTTTATCTTTGTTATTATAAATAAGAAAGAGCAGGCAAAAGCACGCACATCAATCTCAACTGGGTACTCGACTAAGAAACAAGTGGAAAAATTTTTTAAATGTAAAGTCGGCAACACCAAAGAAGAGCCTGCGTGCTCGAAACTTCACAGACGCTATGCAAGTTTTTTTTTTTTTTTTATACATTTTTGATACTTTTGGAGCTTTGGTGTTGCCGACTTTACATTTAAAAAATATTATAAATAAGAAAAAATGCAAAAAAGCAGTAGAACAAATATAACAAAGGAAAAAAATAATGCATTACCTTTCCCATTTTACATCTAAACAAACGCATTCAAGTAAGATAAACAAATAATCAAATGTAAAAATCACTTTAGGTGTTCATTACAAATAAATTGATTATTTAAACTACAAAAGCAGTTCAATCAAGAACAGCAAGTGATTCCCTCTTTTCTTTTATTGTTTGATTAACATTAAAGGGGTCATATGATGCTGGGGCCGGCGGGCTAGAGTGAGCGGCATCCCACATCGTGACATAGACGTGGGGGCGTGTTAGAACGAGCCGTTTTAAGTAGGCGTGGTTGACTCTTAACTTTTATAAAGAATATCTCTTTGGATTTGAGACTTTAGTCTTTGCAACTTTACAGATCTTCTTTATGCACCAAGAGCTTGTAACACTCCAAAGAGAAAGGAAAAATTTTAATCGCATCATATGACCCCTTTAATGAGACAGACGCCTATATACAGTATTAAAGCCTACTGTAATGCACGGATCTAATGTAATGTTACACATCAGATGTTTTTCCCCAACTGTTCATTGGGAACGCTAGATGAGGGTTTAATGAACTCTTTTTTGTGAAAACCTCAAATTTTAAATTTTTCAGTTTTTTTGCCTGTAGCTCAAAATTAGTCAGTGTGCATTCCGACTCATTTTGCCAGCACGGTTCACATATGACATATAATTATGAGAGATATAATATCTTATATAATATATGATTAATGAAATAAAATACAGTAGGATGTTATACTTTTAATTCACATCTTCTATATATAACAATTAGGGTTGCAAAGGTTGAAAAAAATTCCGGTAAATTTCTAGAAACTTTCAAAAAATCCTGGAAAGTTTCCAAAATTTCTGTAATGTTTCTGAAATTTACTGGAAATTTTCCACCTTTTTGCAACCCTAATAACAATGAATGTTGACAATTCACAAAATAATAATACCGATAAGCCAATAATTATTTTCATATTATTCCCAGTAAATAGCTGATATACACACTTGAAATTAAAATTATTAGCTTGTTATGCTACAAGTGTATTTAGGAAAAACATGCGCAAGTCCTCAAAATAATAGATGAGAGACCTCTGGAATACTGGTTAGATATCTTAGTGCTTGATTATGGAAATGGCAAATATATCAGCCAATAATAAATAAATAAATAAATAAATAAATATTTCATTTATTGACTAATTTACAGGTCATTATTCTGCAGCATATGTTTTTTGTTAAATATCATTATCCCAATTCATTCCTCCCTAATAGCAGCACGCCAAATATTTACTGAAACGATGACCACAGAACTATGATACAAATTGAACTGTGAGAAATCTGAACCGTTGCAGCTTTATTACATACACACCCTTTCACTCACAAGAACACAAGCACACAGAGCTAACACCAGCACACGTACCCCCCTAACATCTCTCCCCCCCAGCTTCCTGAGGCCTATAATTCGATATTAGATTTCCAGTGAAACAGCGTCATCATTCCAGGAGAACAGACGACAGCTGAGGAAAGCAAACACATGCTGGGAACAAATCTGAAAGCGACTTTACATGAGGACTTTTTTCCTAGCGGCATAACAGTTAGCTGTGCTGAGGTGTGGCCTACTGTAAATCACTCATCTCAAGTGGAAGACGAGGAATGCAGAAGTCACAGAAAGGCCAGACTTAGGTCAGTTAGCGAGGCGATGACTATTGTTATTACTTTGCTGTTTAGTTCATCAGGAATTCACCATCCCGTTTACACCTTGCCTTTTTTAAAAGGGGCGTTTATGATGAACACGTTTCCAGCCAAATCCTGCAGCCTGCAATGGCACGCAATGCACGACGGATCACAATACATATGACGACATTTCAACTGAACTGTTTTCCCTGGCGGCAGGTGCAAAAGCGGCAGGCAACGTAAACAAAGACGAAAGGAGAGAGCACGAGCGTGCGTGTGCTTTAGCCAGCGTGAGAAGGAGATATAGGGGGAGAGGGAAAGACAGACAATCAAAGACAAAAAAGCAAGCTGAGGGCATTGACGCAATTCGCGAGCCCCCCACCTGAATGGGCCGGAGCAGATAAGGGTGAAATCGCTCAACGTCGCTTCAATCGTTCAGGTGGGGGTGAGTGTGAGAGCCAACTGCGTCAGAGAGTAAGCGGCGCGTGGGGCATGCTGGGCTGACAAAACAACAGGGCGAGGAGAGGTGGGTGCGGACGGCACACATCAACATCACACAGCAGTTTTTGCGTCTGGATGCCATGCCGCCACTCTCCCATCATCGCCTGCAAAGATCCGTGACTGGGGAGGAAGGTAAAGGAGATGGAGGGGATGCCATAGTCCCACAACACAAAAAGCATTTCATTCAGAGCTTCAGTATGCCTGTAATCCAGTTTCAATGTCTCTGATACACCTGGATGTGCCGCTGTGTGCACAAACAGCTGCACCCGCTATCTACCTTTTTATTAGGTTCTCAATATTCATGGCAAAATCAGAAAGCAGTTTGTGCAGTGCAGTAATTTGCATTAATGCCA